ACAGAGGGAGGGGGTGAGAGGACAGAGGGAGGGGGGTGAGAGACAGAGGAGGGGGAGGACAGAGGGAGGGGGGGTGAGAGACAGAGGAGGGGGGTGAGAGAGGAGGGAGGGGGTGAGAGACAGAGGAGGGGGTGAGAGATAGAGTGAGGGGGTGAGAGATGAGGGAGGGGGGTGAGAGATAGGAGGTGAGGGGGTGAGAGATAGAGGGAGGGGTGAGAGATAAGGTTTAGGAGAAATAAACAGTAAATATAATTGATAATGAAAATGTTAATAATAAGAACAATAATAAGAAATTTGAATTATACCAATGATGTAAATCTGGACCCGGGCCAAGATAACTGACCCGCCATTTATTAATCGACCCGCCATTTATCAAGATAACTGACCCGGGCCATTTATGTACGAGTTCAATCGCAATTTCCTCATCAGGGGCGGTAATTACTTTACGAGTCCCTAATTAGTTTCCGAAGGTCATTAACGACAGGAGACGCTCATTAGGTGGGCGTGTCACGTGACCTCGGGGTTAATGGCTACACCTGCTGGGAATTGTCTTAAGCTGGTGTGAAAAATCCCAAGATGGAGTAAAGCCTGCTGGACCACCACTCCACGACCCCCTGACGGAGACACGATGATCCTCCCCATACTGGCCAGATATTTTGTAAATAACATTGATTATGTGTTAAAGGAATATCCTTCCTTCCTTAGGCTTTAGTAAGCCCCTTTATAATATTTATACTGTATATACTTGTCACACTTGCCAGATGCTTCTGGTGTCATTGTACAGGGGTACCTAGTGACAGCACTAGGATCCCGCTTCCTCTATCAAGGAATAAACAATTGAAATTGAATTGAATTGATGGAGTAAAAGCTTATAAGATATATTCATAAAATCCCAAAATGTGAAAATCCAAATCTCGAAATGAAATCCCTATTATGGGTTGAGATGTTAACACGAGGGTAGTCAAGCACAGCACCCGACCTCCATCACTTTCCAAACTGTATGGTCAGGTGCCTATTCTGAGCTGGATGGAGTAAGGTGGCCCGGAGGCAAACCAGATACATCACACACACACACAACAACAACACACACACACACATACCATACATACATCCATACATACATACATAGTAAAATAGACAAGTATATAAAAAAATACATAAAACTATATAAATAAAATCAGAATAGAAATTAACATACTGATATAAAAAAGAAATTTAACATATATGCATAATTGTTTGGACACGACGGCACAGCCTATTTCAACACAACATTTGTAATGGTCGTATTGCATAATATGAACAACCGGTAATAATATTGGTGTCATTATTATTATTATTATTATTATTATTATTATTATGGCGATATTTTTTTTATTTCTTATCAAATCAAAGTTCAATATATACATTTTAACTCCAACAAACAATCAAAGCTTTTTTCTTTTCTTACCTATATATCGATTTGTTGATATATGTGACTTTTAAAACCCTATGTATATGTATATAAATAAGTATATGTGTAATATGAGAATGAATTATCAATTTAGCTTTGGCTGATGTATAATGAAACGTGACAACTCAACACAGTGTGGATGGTGTCACTGGCAACCGTTCCACAGGCCTGCCAACCGTTCTGTGATGTACGCGTCAAAAACCCCAGGAAAATACGTCATTCTACTTACTATGAGGATACTAGTACGTTTTATTTATGTATATGTATTTGTATATAGATATGTACAGTAATACATATATGAGTATCTGTATTATTATATTCACGTCACTTTTATACAGGGAAAAGGTTTTAAAACACTACACTGATCGTCATTGTGTAAAATTGTATAACAAAAGATTCAAACATGAACTGGTGTAAAACAGAATGTAAATGACAATTATCTATGTAAATTTAAGTGTTTCATGTATTTGAAACGGGTGTATAATCTGCCTGCGTGTACTGTATGTGTGTTTGGGCAGCTCGGGGGCTGTGAAACGCAAGGCTGAGTGTTGAGTTTCTGTGTTTGTTTGACCTCGACCCACCCACCCCTTACCCCAATCCCCACCCCACCCCCTCCCTACTCCTACCTCCTGTATATTTTTGTTATTTGATTGTCTGTGTGTGTGTGTGTGTTTGCTCGACAGACCCCAAAATGTCGCTCTTTGTTCAGGACATAAATGAACAATTCTGTTGAGACGAGAAGATAAACAAGATCTCTGTCTGTCTGTCTGTCTGTCTGTCTGTCTGTCTGTTTATCTGTCTGTCTCTATCTCTCCGTCTCTCTCTAGAGTCTAGAAGGTAAATTACTGTGTCGTGAATATTTCTTTGTACAGGTAAACAGTTCATTAAGATTCTTACCTTTCCCCCTCCTTCTCTTTCATATTCTCTCGTCATCCCAGTCCTTTCCCCCTCCTTTCCTTCCCCTCTTTCCCCTGTTACCCTCTCCCTTCTCACCTTCTCTTCCCTCAATCTTTCTCCTTTCACCCTCCTCTCTACCCTCTCCTCCTCCCCCCTTTCTTTACCTGTCCACCTCTTTCATTATACGTCTTAAAGAACATAGTTAAACGAGGCTTTTACCTTTAAATAACACTTAAACAAGAACTTTAGGTCATTTAGAAGAACACTTGAACGATAATGTTAGCTATTAAAAAAAACAAATAAGACTTTTACTCCTTCAATAAACAACTCTTGAAAATGTTAGTTTACGTCTTAAAGAACACAAGAATAAGAATTTTGAGACCAGGTATGAAAGCTTTTAAGGCAGGTAATTATTAGGTGGCTCAGGAGTGCACAATACACGAATATTGGACCACCTGAGCGTAGAAAAAACTTTCAAAAGGCCCCCCTGAAATAAAAGCCATTTGGAGTCTTTAAAATCACGCGTCTTAAAGGGCATAAATTCAGTGGAATGTAGTGCCCGAGGAATACGTCTTAAGACCTTCAGTTACAGGTCCTGATGCTATCTAAACTCAGGTCCTGAAGCCCTAAAAAACCGGTCTTAAGAGTTCCTAAACACAGGTCATAAATACAAGTAATAAACCCTATAAAGCACAGGTCCTGATGGTCCCCTAATGTCAGGTCCTGAAAGCCCAAATATCACAGGTTCTGAAAGTCCAAAAAACCAGGTACTTAAGACCCCAAAACACAGGTACCGAAGACCACCAAAATACCACTGACGCCCTCAAAACACCAACAAACAGGTTCTGAGGGCCCCAAAACACAGCACCTGAGGGCCCCAATTACAAATCGTGACCCTCCCCCTCAATAAAAAACATCACAATATATTTATTAAATGGCAGGTAACATACGTCTCTTTGAAGGCTCACTGAAATATACCGCGTGAGTATGTATTGGATCTCTCTCTCTCTCTCTCTCTCTCTCTCTCTCTCTCTCTCTCTCTCTCTCTCATTGAGCTAGATCTTGACTTGCTGGCAGTGAAAGGTGTTTTACCTGTTTATCTTCATAACTGCGGAAGTGAGGCCGGAACTGCATTAGCTACCTGGCGCCTGAGTGTTGGCTTGATGGAAGGGGCGTGCGGGAGGGGAAAAGGGTAGAGAAGTGAAGGGGAGATGGGAAAAGGAGAGGAGGAAGGTAAGATGGTAAGGGGAGGAGGGAGGGGAGAAGATAGAGGAAGGACTAGGGGAAAATGGAAGGGCGTGAGGGGAAAGGAGGATAGGATGGAGAGGAGATAAGACAGATGGGAAAGGGAGAGAAGACAGATGGGAGAGACGGAGAAAGAGAGAGAGAGAGAGAGAGAGAGAGAGAGAGAGGACTTTTCATCTACCTCGGGGTAACATAATTGTGTTGGTGATTAATTGGCCTTAACCAAACAGTTCATGACCGTCATTAACCAAACGATGTAAATAATGGCTCTAAAACACTCACACAAACAATGTATTTAACCACACAATAAAAACAATGACTTTAATCAAATAATATAACAAAAAACTAGCGCGCGCGCGCGCGCGCACGCACGCACAGTGGGGGTTACAGTGGACAACACCGCACCAGACTACTCATCGCTACAAGGCACCCTGGACAGGCTACAGGCATGGACTACGGAGAACAAGGTCACCATCAACCACACCAAAACCGTCGTCATGCACATCAATACCGCCACCACTCCAGTGCAAGGTCCAGCAGTCACAGTGGGTGCCCATCCTCCCCAGTTAGTGCAGTCTGCCAAACTCCTGGGTGTCACTATAGACCACAAACTGGACTGGAAGGCCCATGTAAACAACACAGTCAAGGCAGCCTCGTACTGTCCCTACATGCTACGACGACTTAGGTCACTTGGGACACCCACGCCAGAGTTGAGGACCATCTACAACGCCTTTATTCTCCTCAAACTAACGTATGCGTCACCAGCCTGGTCGTCTTCTCTCAACTCCACCCAACAACGTCGGCTAGAGAAGGTACAGAAAAGGGCCTGCAGAATCATGCTCGGCGCAGACTACTCCGGCTACATCAACGCTCTCTCCACCCTGGAAATACCATCCCTCAGCGATCTCCACCACCAAGCACTAGCAAGGTTTGGCAGTGAACTAATGCACCACCCTCGTCATCGCCACCTCCTGCCACCGGCAGCCCCCCGCCCACTTCGCTCAGTCCGCCACTACAACAAAATTCAGCCCATAAGAGCCCGCACCGATAGATATAAGAACAGCACCATCCCATCTATTGTTAAAATAATAAACAACTCCTGATTTATGTACTGTACAGCCCTGTAAATGTATTCAATGCATATTATATCATTATGTCTAAATCAAAAGTCTGTATATTTTCAGCCACCGGCTGCAACTCTATTATTAAACCGTTTATTATTATATATATTACACACACACATTATTACACACACACCTTCCCCGGCTGCAACTCTATTAATAAACCGTTTATTATTATTATTACACACACACACACACACACACACACACACACACACACACAGGAAAAAACAGGAAAAAACATCCAGCTGACAAAACAAAAAGAAAAAATGGAATACATTATCAAAATGGCCTTCCAGCGAACACAGGCTGAACGGAAGTAAGGCATTTACACCCACTCGCTCTGATTGCGAACTTTTCCGCTTGTGACTGAAGTAACAACAATGTCAACTATTACTGTATTTCTTTTTCTCGTAAAATCAACAAATTCTGAGAGGCTGAGGAGGAGAAGAGAATGCAATGAAAAGGAATGTTTTGGTGTTTAATGCAACTGATGTAATGTTTTATTTATCAAAATATTATTCAGGAGTTACTAATATAGTGTTTAATACATTGAAAAATAATATTCATGAGGAAAATAATAAAATATTATTGAAAAAGATTATTTCATCATTATGGCAGAAACAAAATCGTAAAACTTTTAAAATGTTCAGAATCTCAAACAGAATATAAATGTGTATCGGAAAGTAGTGTTGTACAGTAGATCTACAAACTCTACAAACACAAGTAATCCAACAAATTTGCAATTAAACTATGTCCACGATTCACCGAGTCTTTTTTCGCACCCTGTTTCTAAAATGCTCACAGTGTCCATGAAAACTAAAAAAAAAAAAATAATGTTCCAGTTCTATCAACAAAATCATTATAACATTAACGTAATAGTGATAAAATTCGACTTTCTCGTAAGCTTATATCAGGTATTTACAATGACTATTTACAGTCCAATGCTATATAACCACGGTCAGTAATACAACACCTTGATGACATGAAAATCTAAATAAATGGACTTACTCGTGTAATAATATTCAAAATATACCAAAGTGGCTGAAATATCCCAATATCGCGGGTACAGAAAGCTTTTAACGAATTTTGCAACATTTATCCTCCAGGTTAGGGGGAAGGGGTGCTGTCATGTCTGGCTGTCTGTCTGTCTGTCTGGCTGGCTGGCTGTCTGTCTGTCTGTCTGTCTGTCTGTCTGTCTGTCATGTCTGGCTGTCTGTCTGTCTGTCTGTCTGTCTGTCTGTCTGTCTGTCTACACAATAAGTAAACGTTGACTCAGGGAACACCACAGCCAAATTTTTTAGACAAGACCTCGAAACTTATTGGATGAACCTCTCAAATTTAGGGGGGCTTTTCTGTCCTCCGCCTGTCTGTCCATCTGTCTCTTTTGTATATAGAAGGTATCCACACGATCACTAAAGTTATAATGGTCATATCACAACTAAACTTTATATATTAGATCTTTATATTCAATGGTTTAACCCTATTGATTTTGGTTGTGTTTTTCTTCCGTTCGTCTGTCCGTCTGTGCGTGTAAACAAATGCTGTCCATAAAAGAAGATACGAGAGACAGATATAATGGCAGAAAGAGAACGAAAGAGAGAGAAATGAAGGAGAGAAATGAAAAAAAAGGGCCATGATGAAAGAAATACACACTATAAAAAGAGATAGAAAGAGGAAAAGATAAAGAATAAAGAAAAGAGAGAATTAAGTAGAGAGGTTTTCACAATAGATGAAAAGAGAGAAGGAGTGGAAGTGGATTAAAAAAGGAAAAAAAAGAGATAAAGAGAAAAAGAGAAAACTTGTGAGAGAAAATTAAAAAGAGAGATTAAAAGAGAGAGACAGACAGACTATTCGTTGCAGGAAAATGGGCAGAAATACCACTTCTTCCTTATCTAAATGACCTCTTCCGGGACACCTTGAGTCGTTTCGAGCCTCTGAGTCGCTGTGGTATTTTGTAAGACTCTGCGAGTTTTGTGAGTCATTATAAATTACTGTTGATAATTTTGAGTTGTTGTGAGTCACTGTTATTCCTATGAGTCGTTCTGATTCGCTGTTATTCGATGTAAACGCTGTGAGCCAGAGTGAGTCATTAAGTGTCAATTCCATTCGTTGTAAGTCTCTATGAGTCACTGTGAGTCGCTCCCAATCACTTGCAGCCAGTGTGAGTCGCTGAAGTCACTTGTAGTCACGGAGTCGCAGTCAGTCACTTGTTGTCACTGAGTTGCTGTCAGTCACTTGTAGTCACTGAGTCGCTATCAGTCACTTGTAGTCACTGAGTCGCTATCAGTCACTTGTAGTCACTGAGTCGCTGTCAGTTACTTGTAGTCACTGTAAGTCGCAATCAGTCACTTGTAGTCATTGTGAGTCGTAGTCAGTCACTTGTAGTCACTGTGAGTCGCTGTCAGTCACTTGTAGTCACTGAGTCGATGTCAGTCACTTGTAGTCACTGAGTCGATGTCAGGCACATGTAAATCACTGTGAGTTGCTGTCAGTCACTTTTATTCACTGTGAGTCGCAGTCAGTCACGTGTAGTCACTGAGTCGCTGTCAGTCACATGTAAATCACCGAGTCGCTGTCAGTCACTTGTAGTCACTGTGAGTCGCTGTCAGTCACATATAAATCACTGCGAGTCGCTGAAAGCCATTAGAGAATTTTCCTCATATGTCAGCACACACACACACACACACACACACACACACACACAATGACAATGTAATTGTCCAGTTGATTAAAATCTCGCTTGACAATATTGGATCAAAACTGAAATCAGTTATTTTTCATACAGTTTCAATATATATTTTTTTACCTAAGTGTAATTATTATATATATATATTACAATGATGATAATGATGACAATAACAATAATAATGGTAATGATAACAACAGCAGCAGCAATAATAATAATAATAATAATAATGGTAATAATAATAATAATAATAATAATAATAATAATAATAATAATAATAATAATAATAATAATAATAATAATAATAATAATAATAATAATAATAATAATAATAATACTTTAAAGACACCAACATATATAAGAAAATTAACCTGTGAAAGAACATTACCAATATTTTGTGGAGAAGAAATTTGACTGTATAGGTCCATTTCAGGAAGATAACGTCATCAATTAATAATTATTTGTATAATGACCAATTTTTTTTATCCAGAAATTTTATGATTAATGAAGAATTATACAACGCACATCGGTTTTTTTTTTATGATTATATTAACCTATAATGACGACGGGTTGATTACATGTCTTGACTTTTTGGTAAATATTTTTTTTTTCGGGGGGGGGGCAGCTTATAATTGATGAACATAAAAGCCTGGTGATGGATACCCTGTGATCGTGTTTATCGGATCAATATCATGGACAAGAGGATATTTTGTTGACCCTATTACTAAAGGTCAAAGGTCAGGAAACAGTAATAGAGCGAGACTATGTTGAAATAGGTGTTATATACGGGTTATAATTATTATTATTATTATTATTATTATTATTATTATTATTATTAACATTATCATTCTTATTATTAACATTATTATCATTATTATTATTATTATCATCATTAAATTCATCATTATTATTAGTTATCATTTATTACTGGAAACTATTTAACAATTAATGTGACTCAAAATTTTAAAAAAATCTAGAAAAATAATAAAGACAATTTATCAACGGCCTCAGTTAATGAAGACCAGAAACAAAAAACTTATTCCAGCTTAATGACCAGATAATTATATCATCAATTATCTATCCATCTATTTATCGTCTATATTTATCTCCTAGTTCTCTGTGGGGTTGATGAAGAGGGCGAGAAGCAGAGGAAAAGGGAGGAGTAATAGAGAAAGGGGTGAAAAGGGGGGAATGATAGAGAAAGGGGTGAAAGGGGGGAGTTAAGAGGTAATAGAAAAGTGGTAAGATAACAAGTAGAAGTGTACACAATAAAAGGGGAGGTGGTACAGGTGTAGTAAGTGACAGGGAAGTGTTAAGGCAAGTGGATAGATCCATTATAATAGGGAGAGTCGTGTTAGGTAAGTACAGAAAGTGACAAGAAAGTACAATAGCATGAAAGAACTGGTTGACAGAGGAAGGGGAGTGACGGTAGTGGAAGGGGAGTGACGGTAGTGGAAGGGGAGTGACGGGAGTGGAAGGGGAGTGACGGGAGTGGAAGGGGAGTAACGGTAGTGGAAGGGGAGTGGCAGTGATGAGAGGGACAGACCAGCCAACTTGAGGTGTGAATTAATATCTTGTTTGCCTGTTGAGGTAAATCTCTATCTCTCTCTCTCTCTCTCTCTCTCTCTCTCTCTCTCTCCGGTTGCCTACAATGACATCATCCCCCCGTACGATGACCTCTTGATAACATTGATTTAAATCCCTTGAGGACGATAGTTTTACCTTTTATTAATACGGTGACCAGTTTCTTAAGTTACCCCCTTTTTCATAATAACTTTAAATCATTTTGTATCGTGTATATAATAATTAAAATACTATCAGAACTAAACATTAAAGATTTTTTGTTTCTACTCTACATCTATGAAATTACAATTACAGTAAAGAAAAAGGTGCAAAAACAAAGTATTCCTGAAAATAAGTGAGTCAATATTGAACGCTAATTCAGGCAGCGTCATAAATTCTAAGTTATGATATTGGCACGGAAGCAATTTTAGCTGTTGACAGAAGGGTATAATCAATTTGAGACGGGATGGGATCAATCTCAAGTTTTGGCAGCAAGATGGAAGATATTTAGTCTAGTGAAGGAGGGGGATAGAGTGTGAGTGAGTGAGTGAGTGAGTGAGTGTGTGTGTGTGTGTACAACAGCAACAATATTATTATTATTATTATTATTATTATTATTATTATTAAACAATAATATTAATTAACGGTTTATTGAATGATTATGGCAGCCAAAGGACTAAAAATATAGTCAACAGAGATGATGAAAGTTACATAATTGGGGAATGGATCACTTGATTGACAAATGATATACAAAAGACGTAAGTGGTATAAATATAATATATAATGACAAGGGGGAAGGGAGAGGGTCGTTTAACAAGGAAATTCAGCACAGTAACCGTATAAAAGTGAGATTGGCAGGGAGTGAACAAACAGGTTAACTACGAGTCGTTAATTTTTTCAATGGTTGGGACTGGGCTGTTCTTATAGCGATCAGTACGTGCTCGTATGGGCTGGATGCGGTTGTAGTGTCGAACAGCAATTCGTGGACGAAAGATATCGGGTGAGAGCGGGAGACGGTGGCGAGGGTGGTGCAGAAGCTTCTTCCCAAAATTGCAGATGAGGTCATGATTATAATGAGAAAGAGCTGAGCTTCTTGATATGTGTAGTAGGAGGGGAGAGAGTAATATTGCACGCCCTCTTCTGCACTTTGTCTAGGTGTTCTCGCTGTGTGGTATTTAGGGAGGAAGACCAGGTAGGGGAAGCATAGGTGAGCTTGGGACGTATGAATGTTGAGTAAACACTGAAGAGCTGAGGCGCGGAAACTCCGAAAAACTAGAGACCAAGGTGTAAAGATTGTTATGTGGCACCGAATATATATTGAATTTAGAGGTAATTACCCTGCTTATTCAATAATGTTCAGTAGGTAGGGCTATATACTTTTATATAATCCTTTGATAATTGGCGACATGGTATCCACAGGGTCACTGTCTGGTGAGAGGGTGTGGTCCAAGTGTGGTACAGTTGGTCTGGACTCAGGATATACTGTATGTATATGGAGATAAATGGTTTATTCTTTTGTACTGGTAAGGCTGAGGTTAGGGTTTAGGTTAAATTAAGCTGAGGTTGGGTTTTAGGTTAAATTAAGCTGAGGTCAGGGTTTAGGTTAAATTAAGCTGAGGTTAGGGTTTAGGTTAAATTAAGCTGAGGTTAGGGTTTAGGTTAAATTAAGCTGAGGTTAGGGTTTAGGTTAAATTAAGCTGAGGTTAGGGTTTAGGTTAAATTAAGCTGAGGTTAGGGTTTAGGTTAAATTAAGCTGAGGTTGTTTGTAATTCGTTTGTTCTTTTTCTCGTCTTTGTAGATATATTCCCTAATTTTATTATATTAAGAAATTATACAGTTTATGATTCCTCCTCAATTTATATATATATATATATATATATATATATATATATATATATATATATATATATATATATATATATATATATATATATATATATATATATATATTTGGGGTTAATCTGAGGCTTATTAAAAACCTGGTGGAGATAATATTAGAGTCATTACAGTGTTTACCCTGCTTGTTGTTGTGACCACTAGAGGCAGGGGGTTTGTTTCTGTATGCTTTCACGATCAAGCCTCGCCCCTCATGTGACTAGTGGCAAATTCTCGATACAGAGGAGTGCTTGAGACAATGGAGGAAGTAGCGACGAATACTGGAAGATTGGACAATTGTACTGATGTGTGTTTTACAATTCAGTTTGTTGTCTATAATGATCATAGAACACCTTTAATCACTACCACCCATCATCACCATAACTACCACTACCATCCATCATCACCATAACTACCACTACCATCCATCATCACCATAACTACCACTACCATCCATCATCACCATAACTACCACTACCATCCATCATCACCATAACTACCACTACCATCCATCACGATTATAACTACCACTACCATCCATCATCACCACAACTACCACTACCATCCATCATCACCATAACTACCACTACCATCCATCATCACCATAACTATCACTACCATCCATCACCACCATAATTACCACTACCATCCCATCATCACCATAACTACCACACAACTCCATCATCACCACTTCTATACCACTACCATCATCATCACCATAACTACCACTACCATCCATCACGATTATATTTCACCACTACCTGTCCATCATCCTACAGCCTACCACTACCATCCATCTGCATAACTACCCACTACCATCCATCATCACCATAACTACCACTACCATCCATCACCACCATAACTACCACTACCATCCATCACCACCACAGCTACCACTACTATCCATCATCACCATATTTCCACCACTTCCATCCATCATCACCATAACTACACTACCATCATCATCACCATATCTACCACTACATCACTATAGCACACCATCACCACTACCACCCACCGTGCGACCGTCTCTGTTAAAAAGTTTTCACACCAAATTTTTTTTTTACCCTACGACGAATCAACATGATGACATCTCGAGATTCTTAAAAATTCTTATGTTTTTCTTGTAACTGGTGGCAAAAAAAACGTATCTACATTGTGTATAGTTTTAGTACAATTCTGACGCCATTTTGGTAACGCATCTTTGTTGGAGAAGAATATTATGATTATTAAAATGTCGTAAGTAAATTTTTTTTTCGTAAGTGTAAGAGAAGTCAATTCGTTTAGGTAGAATCTCAGGGAAATTTCAACGCCATTTTCTTACTGGATCGTCATAAGTCGTCACAGGATCATCACAAGTCGTCATAGGATCACCACAAGTCGTCATAGGATCATCACAAGTCGTCACAGGATATCCACAAGTCGTCAGAGGATCGTCATAAGTCGTCACAGGATCATCACAAGTCGTCACAGGATCATCACAAGTCGTCACAGGATCATCACAAGTCGTCAGAGGATCATCACAAGTCGTCACAGGATCACCACAAGTCGTCATAGGATCATCACATGTCGTCACAGGATCATCAACAAGCCGCCCAGTCACCACAAGTCTCAGAGGATCATCACAAGTCAGGATCACCACGTCGGGATCACCACAAGTCATCACAGGATCACCACAAGTCGTCAGGATCACCACAAGTCGTCACAGGTCACAGATGAGTCGGGAGTCGTCCACAGGATCACCACAAGTCGTCTGGGATCATCACAAGTCGCTACAGGATCATCACAGGGGTCGTCCAGGGTCATCACTAGTCGTCACAGGATCACCACAAGTCGTCCGGGATCCCACAAGTCGTCACAGGATCACCACAAGTCGTCACAGGATCACCACAAGTCAGAGGATCACCACAAGTCAGAGGATCACCACAAGTCGTCTGGGATCATTACAAGTCGTCTGGGATCATCACCAAGTCGTGGGATATCCAAAATCGTCAGAGGATCATCAAATCGTCAGAGGATCACAAGTCATCACAGGATCATCACAAATCTGGGATCACCACAAGTCGTCACAGGATCATCACAAGCCGTCACAGTCACCACAAGTCGTCACAGGATCACCACAAGTCGTCACAGGATCATCACAAGTCGTCACAGGATCACAAGCCGTCACATGATCACCACAAGTCGTCAGAGGATCATCACAAGTCGTCACCAGGATCACCACAAGTCGTCTGGGATCACCACAAGTCGGGGTCACCACAAGTCGTCACGGGATCACCAAGTCGTCACCACAAGTCGTCAGGGTCACCACAGTCGTCACAGGGTCATCACTAGTCGTCACAGGATCACAGTCGTATCACTCACAAGTCGTCACAGGGTCATCACAAGTCGTCACAGGGTCATCACAAGCCGTCACATGATCACACCACAAGTCGTCAGAGGATCATCTACAAGTCGTCCAGGATCACCACAAAGTCGTCACAGGATCATCACAAGTCGTCACAGGATCATCACAAGCCGTCATATGATCACCACAAGTCGTCAGAGGATCATCACAACACCAGGATCACCACAAGTCGTCACAGGATCACCACAAGTCGTCACAGGGTCACCACAAGTCGTCACAGGGTCACCACAAGTCGTCACCACAAGTCGTCACAGGGTCATCACTAGTCGTCCTGGGATCACCACAAGTCGTCACAGTATCACCACAAGTCGTCTGGGGTCATTACAAGTCGTCACAGGGTCATCACAAGTCGTCACAGGATCATCACAAGCCGTCACATGATCACCACAAGTCGTCAGAGGATCATCACAAGTCGTCAGGATCACCACAAGTCGTCACAGGATCACCACAAAGTCGTCACAGGATCACCAAGTCGTCTGGGATCACCACAAGTCGTCACAGGATCACCACAAGTCAGAGGATCACCACAAGTCGTCTAGGGTCATCACTAGTCGTCACAGGATCACCACAAGTCGTCACAGGATCATCACAAGTCGTCACAGGATCATCACAAGCCGCCACACACCACAGTCGTCAAGAGGATCATCACAAGTCGTCACAGGATCACCACAAGTCGTCTGGGATCAAGTCGTCTAGGATCACCACAAGTCAGAGGATCACCCAAGTCGTCACAGGGTCATCACTAGTCGATCACCACAAGTGGGATCACCACAAGTCGTCACAGGGGTCATCACTAGTCGTCCAGGATCACCACAAGTCGTCACAGGATCACCACAAGTCATCACAGGATCACCCTGATCGAGGAGTCCTCAGGATCATCACAAGTCGTCACAGGGTCATCACTAGTCGTCTGGGATCACCACAAGTCGTCTGGGATCACCACAAGTCGTCACAGGATCACCACAAGTCATCACAGGATCACCACAAGTCGTCACAGGATCACCACAATCACCACAAGTCGTCACAGGACAGGATCACCACAAGTCATCACAGGATCACCACAAGTCATCACAGGATCACCACAAGTCGTCACAGGATCACCACAAGTCGTCACAGGATCACCACAAGTCAGAGGATCATCACAAGTCGTCACAGGATCACCACAAGTCATCACAGGATCACCACAAGTCGTCACAGGATCACCACAAGTCGTCACAGGATCCTAAGTGGTCGTCACAGCGGGCGCGATGAGCAGCACCCGAGGAGTTAACTTTTGTCAAATTGTCGCTATATCGCTGTCGGCAAGAGGGCGCGTGCTTCTAACTTTAGCGACGGCCGTTCACCACACGCTCGGGGCCAGACGCGGAAGTTACTGGCCTGCGAATTCTCAAAGTTTCACACGTTCAACTTTCCCTCTTAAGTGGAAATGCCAGAACGTTCCTCCTAACTGGTTCACTTAAGTTACGACTGTTCAAAAGATTATATAGGTGTACACTACATAGAAAGGTGAACCCAATGATAATCTCTTGTTTCTTCCAAAATATATGAAGTTTATATTTATCAACTAAGCAAAAGTAAAATTATCAAAACTTTTCTAAACAAAAAAAAATAAATAGTTACCAACATACTTATATTTATGAAAGAAAATACAAGAATCATAATTTTAAAAATACAGTGAATCGTATAATACAGTTTTAGTATAAGTGTTCCTACAAGTGTACTTATATACTACCTCATACTTAATAGTGGTTTTACTGTACTATACAATGTGTCTGACAAGTGTACTTCTCCATTATAGTGTACAAGGAGACCATTTTGTAAGATAAAGTCATATTACTATAGCACTCTTATGGTCTTTTACCGTATAAATAATGACCACTCAGAGGCAACATTTGTGTCGTGTTACCAGATGATGGTCACTGGTAACTCACCTACTCTCACTTATTCGAGTGTGTGTGTGTGTGTGTGTGTGTGTTCCGGTGAGAGGCTAGGAGAAGAGGGAGAGGAGAGGGGGATGGTGGAGAGGTAAGAGGGAAAAGGGTGTTAAAGGGTAAGGATAGAGAAAGAGAGGGAAAGAGGATAATTATAGTGAGTGGGAGAAGAGGAAGGGGAGAGAGAGAGGAAAGAAATAAATGAAAGGGAATGAGAGAGAGGGGAAAGATAGCAGTGAGAGAGAGAGAAGGAGGAGGGAAAAAAATAATAAAAAAAGAAAAAAACAATAACATCAACAAACAACTGACCACAGAAACAAAACAAGTCATAATTCCTGAAAATATTTTAGAAAAAAACATATGGTAGACCTATACTGAAGATCTTGTTATGATACTTCCTCACACCAAGTTTTACCCAGACGGACAGAGAGATAAAATATTTCCATGATATATTTCTCTTTAATATTTCCCTGCCATTCTAATCACACTCTTATACTATTTCCATATCGCCTTTCTTCCACTATTTCTATATCATCCCTTATAACCTATTTCTATGTCATTCTTCCCTGTACTATTTCCCTACTACCTATTTCCATCACTTCTCCCCTATCCGGCATCCGAGGCGACATGAACAATAATATTTACTGGTTAACTGAGGCAATGTAAACATACGTTGCCATTTATCAACAAAGACGTTTTCACATGTCAACAAACAATTTGCCATAAGTCAACCTAGCTAGGGTGAGTGTTTGACGTGTGAATCCTGGAGAATCCTTAACTGTGTCGTAGTTTAAGTGAATCAGTCAAGGTAATTTGTTGCATCACCAGTTAGGGGGGGGAGAATTTTACCTTGAAATGTCTTAAGATAATCCTATTTTATATCGTAACGTAAGTGAAAAAGTTAAATCAATTTTACATCACCAGTTAAGGGAAAAAAAAAATATTATATCACGACTTGTTGAGATTCCTTCGCTGTGTCGTAGCTTAATTAAGTGAGTCGTTTAGATGCATTCTCACGTCACCAGTCAGAGGTAAAGATAATTAGCGTACGAACTTTTTTGGTACCAACTGTAAGAATCACATATTAGAGAAGGTGAAGTTGACTGAACTATTATAGTCTCTCTCTCTCTCTCTCTCTCTCTCTCTCTCTCTCTCTCTCTTATATCAATATTGCTATAGCTCTTTTTTTTCTTTCGTTTTATCACTTTTCCCTCTTTCCTTTAATCCTTTTCTGTCCTTTTTCTTTATTCATTTGTTATTTTTTTTCTTTGTTCCCCTTTATTTCTGTTTATCTGCCATTATCTTGATTTTTCTTTGTTTCTCTCTATCTCTTACTTTTACTTTAATTCCTCTCTCTTTACTCTCTTCTGCGTTCACTGACTCTCCTCCTGTCTCTGTCTGACTGTCTACTGCGTTCACTGACTCGTCTCCTGTCTCTGTCTCTCTCTCTGACTGTCTACTGCGTTCACCGACTCCCCTCCTGTCTCTTTCTCTCACTGACTGTCTACTGCGTTCACTGACTCCCCTCCTGTCTCTCTCTCTCACTGACTGTCTACTGCGTTCACTGACTCGTCTCCTGTCTTTCCTTCTCTGACTATCTTACAACGTTCAGTGCCTCACGTCTTGTCTTCCGTTCTTCTTTTGACAGTTTTAAACGGTCGTGGTGATGATTCATTGATGTCAACCCGAGGATTTAACACGACAATCAGCCTGATGTTTTCCGTCATCCCCACATTCTTCCCACGACTTAACGACCACTAAAATGTCGTGTAGTTGCGAGACATTTCAGATAAAGATGTTGATTTAAGATTTCAATTTACGATCTTATACTCTCACCGTGTATGCTCGAAGAGGTTTGGGATTCTCAGAGATACGTGGGTTAATTTTATTCAATGGTGTTGAGTTTATGTATATATTGTACGGTAGAAGAGTTGTCTTGTTTTCATAACTTTGAGTAGATTAGAGGCGCTTTTTCCATAATATTTAAGGAAAATATTGACTTACAGCTTTTGAGAATCTACCTTCGTCTCGTATCATAAAGTCAGCAGTCGCTTATAATGTTCTCCACCTTCTTCAGTTAAGGTAGAATTGGGGATTGTGTTGCAGCTTCAGTGAGTCCGATAAAATTCTTCTCACATTCTCATTTGGTGGGACATTTTAGCAGACGATCCTTTGAGACTCGGAGCCCAACATGACATGAACGCCCGCTTGTTCGCCGTGGAGTGGCAGGTCGCTTGTCACGTGCAGTGGGTGAGTGGAAAACCTAAATGAAACCTCTCCAACACGCACACGGTCGGAGATTCGTTGGCCATGCACCAGGCAAACCCTCGAGCGCCCACTCATTGTGTGTCAAGCTTCTGAAACACACACATAAACGCAGGAGGGTGCAAGTTCTCGAGGAAGTTATACATTGTGCGAGGTTTCATGGACGTATCTTGGGTATCTAGTGAGTGCGCCTACAATGAGTGAGTCCATAGTGAGTACGTTCATGTTGATGGTGTTCATACTGCAAGGGTCCACACTGAGTTTCGTACACATTGTAGCCGACACGCCTCGCCTCACCCTCAGAGTAAATACACAGCGAACGCCACGACCACAAACTATTCTCCAGGATTTCACACATTTCCTCAATCCTTTACAATATCTCTAAGGGGTTTTTCGTACGTTTCCTCAATCTTTCGGGATATTTCTAAAGCTTCTGCAGTCGAGGGACAACTGTAGATAAGACTTACCTCTAAAAAGACAGAAAATAGAAGCTGGGTACCACACTATCGTCAAAAATGTAAACAAAACGAATGAAAATCATCAATATTGTACGATCAATTGCTTCTTCACCAACGCCAACTGTAAACAATCAATTTTAGAAAACACAGCTAGACAGGTGTACAGGCAGGTAGGTAGGCAGGTAGGCAGGCAGGCAGGCAGGCATACGGATAAAATGACAAAACTGTACTCTATAATCCCTTTGGGTAAAACTGGCTAACCCAAACACAAACATAACTCGTGAAAATCAATACCGTATGATCCTTTGCTGGTCCAATGACGCCATTTACGAACAAAAGGATTTAGAATACGATACCAAACAGGCTGAGAGAGACAGACAGACAGATACGATGTGGTAAATCTCCGGGCTCTCAATTCTCTTCAGTGGAGTTGGCTCATAAAAAAAAAAAATGCAAGAAATTGGGTCGTGGTGAAGCTTCCCGAGTGGGCTAGACAACTTTGCTCTACAAAACCCCCCTATCGGAGTAAAGTCCTTCGGGTCTATTCTTGAGCGCCAGGAAGACCCAACCAACCAGCCACCGCCACCCTCAACCAAGAAAATATTCCAAGACAGGAAAAAAGTCCAGCTGGAATTGTTTTGCTCTCTCTCTCTCTCTCTCTCTCTCTCTCTCTCTCTCTCTCTCTCTAACATAGCCCACAGTGTAGCACAATGTAGCCTCACGCAACAACAAATGACAGTAACTGGTTAAGATTTTCTCCTCAGTTCTCCCCCCCGACCGTCAATTAAACTGTCAGACTGTCTCACACACTGTCTCGACAAGGAGACTTTTAAATGTCCTGTTTTGGAGGGAGGTGGGGGGGAGATCTCTAGGATCCTCGGGTTTGTTATGGGTCTCTTTCTTTCTATTGATATAAGGAAAAGTAAGTGTGTGTGTGTGTGTGTGTGTGTGTGTGTGTGTGTGTGTGTGTGTGTGTGTGCGTGTGTGTGCGCGCGCGCGTGTGTGTGCGTGCCGTGTGTGTGTGCGCGCGCGTGCGTGCGTGTGTGTGTGTGTGTCTGTGTGTGTGTGTGTGTGTGTGTGTGTGAGACAGAAGAAAGAAGAAAAGAAAGTATGGTGTGTAGAGAGTGTAAATGAATAAAATAGAAAAGAAAGTATGAGAGAGAGAGAGAGAGAGAGAGAGAGAGAGAGGTGAAACAGGGTCTCAAACACTTAACTCAACAGATCGAGGTCAACACCACTCCTGGGTAAGCTCACCTGTCAACTCTCTCTCTCTCTCTCTCTCTCTCTCTCTCTCTCTCTCTCTCTCTCTCAACTGTATCTCAATCAATAATTAAAACCAACAATTTCAAGAGGAATTATGGCAAACAAATTAAAAAGTCATTTAAAACTGTTTAAACAAAATTATGTCCGACACTCGTCTCAGATTACATTGTACTCTGGGATAAAATATTACTTGTACCTAATATTGTCAGGATTTATCATTATTATTATTATCATTACCTAGCCATAAAATTATAGAGCAGAATATTGTCTTAGTCCTGTCTGTGTGTATGTTCATTAAACAACTCAAGAATATGTGTTCATGGATTTATAGAAAACTTGATAACTTTGGTGAA